TATATATATATATATATATATATATATATATATGGATATATATATATTCTGTCATATCCTCAGAATCTTTCTTCTTCTCCCTAAATGACAACACAATATCTGTTGAGATGGCAGGCCAGTTTGGATTCTAAAAAAAACTCATAGAACATTAGAGGAAGTTAAGATTGAGATGTCTCACAGTTGTTCTCAGAAACCAGAGAGATACTGGCAGCCTTGAGGTTCTCTGAGGAGGCTAATTACATCCCTGGTTCTTTCTCACCAAAAGTTCAACAGCTGGTTTTTACCTTGGAATTTCTTGGTCACCTGGAGAGAGGGCAATTACAAGAATGAAAATGGCATTCCAATCCTCCTGCCTGTCTAAAATCACCTATTGATTTCTGACGCAAGCTGTTTTGATAGATTCTTCACCCTTTCTAGCAGCCAGAAATGGGAAGTGATTTGAGACCATCCTCCTGGACTTCTCTGAAGAACAAAGGGAGCTCCAATTTATACCTGACCAAGTGAAGTTGTTAGTCGTGTTGGGGAAATGACTTGAACTGACTGGTTTTCTTTGTTTCTAACCAAGGCCTTGTATTTTAATTAACTTTTACAAGGGAATAATGGGCAATGGCCATAATCCACTTGGCTGGCAAGGAACTGTACAGAGTTCTGTTGCAATATAAAAATGTGCTAAGTCTTTGATACTGGAGGGTTTTGTGATACTTTAAAATTGATGAGCTGGTTTTATTCTCTGCATACACTGCTAGGCTTTTTATGACCTCTTATTCTACTCTGTGTTGTGTTGTGTGTGTGTGTGTGTTTAGTTTTTGTTTGTCTCTCTCTATTTGCTTTTAAGAAGCCTCACATTCCCCTTTAAACCTTTTCCCAAGGTCAGCCTACTCCTATTTTATTCTTATGCTGACACTTAAAACTTATCAACTTTATTTCTCTCTTAACACCAGCTGCCAACTCATCCAATTGCCTTAGTGAATGGGTTGAGGCTTGGGTGAAGACTGAGTTGTTACACTATTTTGTTAATGTAACAGAATACATTAGACCAGGTAACTTAACAAGGAAAAATATTCGTTCAGCTCACAGGTCCAGAGATTCAAAGGCATGGTGTGCCAGTGCTATCATCTTGGCTCTGGTGAAGGTCTTATGATGGGTGGCATCACAATGTTAGGGCTGTGTGTGAAAGAGAGCCATTACATTATTTATAGTATCTGGTTTTCTTGAGAACAAACTCAGGGTCCCATGAGTGCTGCTTTAATCCCTTCTAAGGATAACACCCCCAGGAGCCTAAAAACCTCCCACAAGGGTCTCCCTTTTAAAAGTTCCACCTTACCTGTTAACATTGACACACCAGGGACAGCATCCAACACATTCTTAAGGGAATAAACTGCATCTCAGCCATGGCAGTAGTAGTCCTAACCAGAAAGAATATGTGCCTTGAGGAGGGGCTTTGTAAAATTAAAATATTCTTTACCTGTACTGTGCAACTTACAATTTGATCTCTTCTTCTTGCAGTAAGTACAAACTGATCCTAGGTGAGGAGCCTGTGGAGAAACGAAGGAGGTTCCAAAATGAGATGACACCATCTCCTATAGATTATTCCATGTCCAGTCCTTACAGAAGGGGAGAAGTAGCTGCTGCCTACCCAGAAGGAGAAAACAATCATGATAAATCCAGTTCTGAGAGAAGTACACCACCACACCTCTTACCAGAATACCCAGAAGCAAACAAGAATACAGGACAGAACAGGGAAGCTCCAGCACTTTGCCCAGGGTCCCAGGACCAAGGCCTGGGTTCCCTGCTTACTGAAGAATTAGAAGATCAGATGCCAAAACTGGTAGCAGAAGAATCTAACAGAAGTAGTGAGAACATAAACAAAGAAATGAATAAAGGGCCTTTTGTAGCTGTTGTAGGCATTGCAAAGGGAGTTGCAGATTCAGGAGCTCCCATCCAGCTAATCCCCTTTAACAGGGAGGAGTTTGTAGGCAGAAGAAAGGCAGCAGAATCCTGGAACCCAAATCCTAATCCTGCTGCAGCAGCCACTGCAGGGAAGGGAAAAGGCTGCCAGGAGAGTAGAAGTCGTAACATGCCAAAGATAAAGGACCAGAAAGAGTTGGAAGAATTGAAAAAAACCACGGAAAAATTGCAACGTGTTCTGGCTGAAAGGAATTTGTTCCAGCAAAAGGTTTGGGCAACACCTTACCACTAGGAATAAAAGAGGTCATTGTAACCTAGGGACCAAGGCAGTGTTCTCAACCTTACTATTTCTGTGACCCTTTAATACAGTTTCTTGTGTTGGGGTGACTCCCAACCATAAAGTTATTTTCATTGCTACCTCATAACTGTAATTTTGCTGCAGTTCTGAATGTTAATGTAAATATCTGTGTATTCTGTGGTCTTAGGCATCCCCTGCAAAAGGGTCAGTTGACTCCCCAAGGGGTCACGACACACAGGTTGAGAACCACGGGGCTAGGTTGTTGATATTTTGGTGGTTTCTTTCACACTCTGAGGCTTTTAAACCAAATATGTCATTAAAGCAGACTGTGGTATGACTCATATTGAATGGACCCTAGTGGGCTTTTCCCTCTATATTTTAGGTTTGACAAGAGATTTGCATAGGTGCAATAAAGTATTATAAATAATGGAGGCACAGGGTAGATTTAGTAGGAATGGTTTGGAGTATTCTAGCTTTTGGTTATATGTTGGGTCATTGACTTTCTTTTTGGACTGCAGGTGGAGGAGCTGGAACAGGAGCGAAACCATTGGCATTCTGAATTTAAGAAAGCTCAACATGAATTGGTGACCTACAGTACACAGGAGACAGAAGGCTTATACTGGAGCAAGAAGCACATGGGTTATCGCCAAGCTGAATTCCAGATTCTGAAAGCTGAGCTAGAAAGAACCAAAGAGGAGAAGCAAGAACTAAAAGAGAAACTGAAAGAGACAGAGACACACTTGGAAGTACTGCAGAAGGCCCAGGACTCCTACCGGAACCCAGAGGGAGATGACCTAGAAAGGTTAATTACTAGGGTTTAGTTGTCAGCTTGTGAGTACTAATGGGAATTATCCGCTAAGACCCCCAGTTATTGGGAGGAAGTCTTAATCCATAGACCACCACAGACTAAGTAATTATTTCTTAGATAACAGCAGCCAGTCCCCTGTGTTTGATGGCATGGTGCTTTCAGCCTTCTTTCTACCTAATGGAGACATAATTGTTAAGAAATGTAGGCCCATTTTGAAGGGATGTCATTTTATTCGGTTGGCTAATGACTTCATGTCATCTCTTCTCCTCCTGCCCCCTCACTCTATCATACAGGGCTTTGGCAAAGCTTACGCGGCTACGTATCCACGTCAGCTATCTCCTTACTTCTGTCCTCCCTCACTTGGAGCTTCGTGAGATCGGGTTTGACTCAGAACAAGTGGATGGGATCCTGTACACAGTGCTGGAGGCAAATCACATACTGGATTGAGCACCAGACTATATATCCTCTCCTAGCTTTTCTCTTTTCTGCCAGGGTACTGAATGTGTTCCCGTCTTATCTCTCCCCCAGCCTCCTTCTTTCTCTTTCACCTTTATGCCTTATATGAAGAATCTTGGAATAAGTCCTGGCTTCTTAATCAGTATTCTTCACGATCCTTATGGGTGTGGCAAAAGAGGCCCATTAAATAGCCTTTCAAGAGTCCAGGGACAGAAAAGCAATAGTCACCAAGTTAGGTGACCTGAAAGCTCTAATTTTCATGATCTAGATACTTGGCCTATTTCATATGATGGTTTGTATTCATTTAGGTTAAATCAATCAGCGAGTGTTGAGTCCAATGAACTTGGTGAGATAATCAATATTTCAGCCCTGCCAAGGTTCTAATAATCTAGTTGGAAGCACAAGCAACACCAAGTTAACTAACTATACAAAGAAGGGTGTGGTGTGCATGAGTGATATAAACATGACATAGAAGAGAGAGGAGAGCAATTTCAAGTACAGCGTAAGTGGGACCTAAATGAAGCTTTAAGGAGTGACCAGGCCAACACTCTTAATGATGGCTGTTGCTTACGTGGTAGGGTTACAGTTGATGATTTTTCTTTTTCCTATCTTCTTGCCCTGCTGAAATTTTCTCTAACATTCTTGTTACTCTTCTTGCATTGGAAAATAAATTGTTTTGAAGGCTAACAAGTAGGCTTGAATTTGGATGTCAAATGATACATTTATGAAAGTATTACACGTATATCTTATTTTGAGTTTAATATTACCGCTGTAGAGACAGTGTAAGCAAATGTAAAAAAAAAAAATCCAGAATGTGAAAAATGTGTTTGGTAAGAGGGATAGATTACTGTAAAAGGGACCAATCAACTCACCAATTCTCTACGGTATTTTTATTTTAATAACAGATATGTGAAAATAAATGTAGAAGGATCAAAATTTTAATTATCTATTACCACATTGCTAAATTTCAGGTAGCAGGGGAAATATTTTAGAATAGAAAATATTTAGAATAGAAAGATTTAATTGTTATTCCTTGTAATATGCCTACATACTTTCTAGGCTATACAGAGTGAGAAATCGGCCTCAAATTACAGAAATAGAACATCTTATACTCATGTAAAGAAGGTGTTTTATGAATCCATTACTTTATTGGGTTTATATAATATATAGTCTCCAAAGAGTTAAAGGTACTCTTGAAAGGTACAGTGAACACTATATATAGATATCTATGTATTTGTGTGTCTCAGCATTAAAAAGTAGGAAGTAGAGGATAGGAATAATAAAAGGAAGGTGGGATCCACCAGCAGTAAGAGGATTTTCTCTAGTACAGATTAAACACTTTGGACAGTCATTCTGTTTTCCTCCATAGATTTACTTCAGAAGATTCTCCTAAGGATACTTTACCTCCTTGAAAAGAGGCCCATCATAGATAGATATTCCTGTGGGTTTGTGGAGACTATGGGGAGGCCATAGCAGGCTTCACCATGAGAATGGTACTTAAACATACCCCTGCTTTAACACTCTACCTCACCCCAGCTCTAGCACGCTGCATCATTAACTTTCATGTTAGACATTTGTGTTAGTATATCCAAGGTCTCAGTTGTCTAAACAGGATTACTAACAAGGGAAGGATAACACATGCAATTATTTTCCTAGTCATACTTGCTAGTCACATAGTATAAATGGGAGTCCAGGAGAGGAGGAATATCAGTGAATGCAAAGTTCAGCCTGTGAAGCTGTTGGTTGGATGTATGGGGGTTTGGGATCAGGCAGATAGGGAGCTATAAAGGGAAAGAAAGATGGAAAACTTATCTCATCTTTACTGGTACTTCTTGTCTGCACAAACTCCATGATCCACATCCTGTCAACCCATGGTTTTGAATCCATGCTGCTGCTTCCAGTAACACTCCCCTGTGTGAGTCTCTCCACTAGTAACAGAGCTATTGCTTTGTTACCTATTTCCAGTGGCACTGCACAGAAGCTCCCATTAAAATTCAAACCTTTTCTAAATGTCCCACAAGACCCACTGTCTACCTGTACTTTGTCTCAGCAGCCTTTCATCATTTACCACTTCTCTGGCTCACTTGTTTCCTACTGGAAACATTTCAAGCTGTCAGCTAAGCTCAGAGGTTGCCCTCTAATACATCCTTTACCCTTACTGCAATGAAAGGATTCTCTAATGCAGACAACACACTTTGAAAGGTGGCCCATTGTAGATATTTCGGTGACTCTGGAACTTGTTAAATACCACTGTGGAAAGATTGAAGAGTGCTGCCCATCCTTACCAGAAAAGCCATGATCTAATATGAAGACAGGCACTGACAAGAAAGAAAACACAGGTGCCTCCTCCTGGCTTTTCTCTTAAATTAACACAAACCTCCTTACAATTGTTTCTTAACTCGCCACAGTTAGCATGTAAGTACTTATTATCTCATTCCTTGACAACTGAAATAAATTCTTAGCTGGCCTTTCTCGTTTCCTATCCTCATCCCTCAGTGCACACTTTTTAATTCACTAAATAGCTCTTAACAACTTTATTGGGTCATATCTCTGCTCAGTGACTTGCTGTCGCCCACCATTGCCCACAAATTGCTATGAAAATTCTTCAGCATGGTTCTCGAGCCCCATGATGTCTGGCTTTAACCACCCGGTTCTTCCAGCAAAAACACTCATCTTCCAACAGGCCAAACACAAGCTGTATTCCACTGACGTGGAACTCCTTTTCAACTTCTGAATGCTCAAGATTTTGTCCCCTGCCTTTGGTGTTCCACTCCTGGAATGCTCTCCTTAATCATCTTCCTTTGGTTCAAATGCCAAATTTCTTTTGAAAATTCCTTTAACCCAGGAAGGCATGAAAATTTTCTTTGAACGTTTAAGTTTAAGCCTTGTGTCATTTATAAGGTTTGTGTCATGAACTTCCTGATCATACTTTCCCTATTAGAAATCTCTAGATTTATATTTAACTGCCTACTTGACATTTACACTTACATATCTCACAGACATTTCAAATAAATCATGTTGAAAATAAACAGTGACATACCCCAGGACTATCCTTCCCCCGCAAT